TATCCCAAATCCTGCATTTCCCCATTCATCCCATCATTCCCAAATCCTCCATTTCCCCATTAATCCCATCATATCCCAAATCCTGCATTTCCCCACTAATCCCATCAGTCCCAAATCCTGCATTTCCCCATTAATCCCATCATTCCTAAATCCTAAATCCTCCATTTCCCCATTAATCTCATCATTCCCAATTCCTAAATCCTGCATTTCCTCACTAATCCCATCATTTCCCAAATCCTAAATCCTGCATTTCCCCATTATCCCAGCATTTCCCAGTCCTAAATTTCAGTTAGTCCAAAATCCTGCATTTCCCCATTAATCCCATCATATCCCAAATCCTGCATTTCCCCATTCATCCCATCATTCCCAAGCCCTAAATCCTTAATTTCCTCATTAATCCCATAATTTCCTAACTCCTAAATCCTGCATTTCCCCATTCATCCCATCATTTCTCAATTCCTAAATCCTGCATTTCCCCACTAATCCCATCATTTCCCAATTCCTAAATCCTGCATTTCCCCATTAATCCCATCATATCCCAAATCCTAAATCCTGCATTTCCCCATTACTCCCATCAGTCCCAAATCCTGCATTTCCCCATTCATCCCATCATTTCCCAAATCCTAAATCCTGCATTTCCCCATTAATCCCATCAATCCCAAATCCTAAATCCTGCATTTCCCCATTAATCCCATCATATCCCAAGTCCTGCATTTCCCCATTAATCCCATCATATCCCAAATCCTAAATCCTGCATTTCCACATTAATCCCATCATTTCCCAAATCCTGCATTTCCCCATTAATCCCATCATTTCCAAATCCTAAATCCTGCATTTCCCCATTAATCCCATCAGTCCCAAATCCTGCATTTCCCCATTAATCCCATCAGTCCCAAATCCTGCATTTCCCCATTAACCCATCATTCCCAAATCCTAAATCCTGCATTTCCCCATTAATCCCATCATTCCTAAATCCTGCATTTCCCCATTAATCCCATCATTCCTAAATCCTGCATTTCCCCATTCATCCCATCATTCCTAATTCCTAAATCCTGCATTTCCCCATTAATCCCATCATATCCCAAATCCTGCATTTCCCCATTAATCCCATCATTTC